ACGAACGGCCACTTACGGCAAACGAAGCGTTTAGGGAAACAAAAAAAAAAACAAAACAAAAATCCAAGCAACCCGTGGAGTATTAGAGAAATCCTAGAGTAAATTAATTATACATGTGGTCATCTATTCAGGGGATCAAAGTCTGCGGTCTCGGTGTCTATAGCAAGGAACGCCTCGTAAAGGTATATCATCCCAAACGCGAGGAACAGCAGACTTCCCGCTAGGGTCACTGCGGGGGAGTAAGAACCGAAGCGGGCGGAAGACGTCGAGGAGCGCACCGTGTTTCACAGAGATTTTGGTGGAGACGTACCGTCCGCCGATGACGGCGAGCGCCGTACAGCACGAGTGCCCTATGATCGTCCCAAAGGCGACGACATAGACGTTCTGGGGAGCAGACGGTCAGCCACGGACGCGCGCGCGGGGCGGGAAAGGGATACGGACGTGTGCGGCGGCCAGGGCGATGGTGGAGATCTGGCTGCGGTCGCCCCACTCGCCGAGGAAGGTGAGCACGAACGACTGCACGAAGACGGGGCCGAGGAAGAGGCTGAAGAAGTTCCGCACTGCGTCCGCACGCCGGCGCGTGGACGAATACGCGCGCGGGGGCCTCGCCCCCGACGCGCTGGGGCTCCTGCGCGGGTGCGCGGGTGCGCGGCCGCCCTCCTCGATCTCCTCGAGGGGTATCACGGCGTCTCCGCGGGCGAGCGCGGCGCCGGGGCTGTCGTTGGCGGCATCGTCGCCCTCGATGTCCTCCTCGGCCTCCTTCATCTCCTCCTGGATCTTGTCCGGGCGCATGGCGCGGCTCTCTTGGAGCATTTTTGCGCCAAAGACGAAGAAGAGGAGGGCGGCGCTGGCCTGGGTCCACTTTTTGGGGAGGAGGGTGGGGAGGAGGTTGCCAAGCTCGGCGGAGAGGAAGGACATGAGGACGAGGGAGGCGAGTGCGCCAGCAAAGACGAGGAGGCGGGGGTGACGCATGGCGAGGATGGCGGCGATGAGGAAGGTCTTGTCGCCGATTTCAGAGAAGATGATCATGGCAAAAGAGCGGAGGAGGACGTGGAAGACAGTCTGGTCCCTGTCGGCGGCATCGTGGGCGGTGAGGGCCATGCGCAGTGGGCGGCGGCGGCGGCAGCAGCGGCAGCAGCAGCAGTGTTGGCGTGTGCGTCTTCGTCGTCGGGAGTTGTGGCAGGGGAGATGGGGGCTCGTTGGTGGTGGTGGGGAGGGCGGACATGGCCAGAGCAGCGTCGAATACGAGGCGGTTATAAATAGGACAGCTTTCGATGCGGTAACCTGCCGGCTAAAAATAATATCTGATAATACGCCAAGTTGGTCGCTAAGTGGGCTTGAATAATCCCGTTGAACGTCTTATCCAAATCAATATCTCAAGCATTGCCCAAGTCTGCCAGCTGGTCCGGGCGAGAGGCGCGTGCAGTCCTCCTCCTCCTCATGTCTGCAGCGTCGCTGGCCCCATTTTCCTCTCTTTCGCATTCGCTTCCGTCACAGAGACGCTGGACACAGACATTGGCACCGGCTATTTCACCCGACGCTCACCCAGGCCGCATCCGAGAGTAGCGTACCGTCCGTCTCGTCTCGTCTCGTCTTCCCCCTTCCTCCTCGCTCGCCTCCGACATGCTCAGCCGCCCTTCCTCTCGCCTGCTATCCCGCTCCCTCACCCTCCCGCACCGCCGTGCACTGGGCTCGACATCCCCGCTGTCCGCAGTCTACCTCCTCCCACTCGACCCCCAAGCCCCGGCCGCGAACGGCCAGGCCCTCGCTGACGTGGACACTGCCCGACTCTGGTCCGCCGCCCCCAGGGCCGAGAAGCCAGCAAAGGCAGGGACAACCCACCTGTTCTACGCAACGCCCACCGCGGAAGACGTGACCGCACTCGCATCGCTCGGAGGCTGCTTCGCGTCGACCGCTGGCGATGAGAGGCGAGAGCTGGTTCGCAAGGCGGTCGGGAGTGCCGTGAAGCAGGTCTCTGCTCTTGGAGAGGGCGTCCATGGACAGACCGTGCATGTCGACGCCTCTGCGGACCCGCATGCTGCAGGTGAGTCCCTTCGTTTTGCATCCCACGACCGCCGCGGCCCCGACCCAGCGTCGAGTCTGGCAGGCTCGCTAGGTTGTGCAACGCTCTGAACGTGCCCCGACGTCCCTTTGGCAAGGAACGAATCGAGGCGGGATGTTTCCTCTTGCAATCCCACGGTTGGGGACGCGCTAGCTAGCCGTCTCATGCGCGATCTGACGAACCCATCACTCGCTAGCTGTCGCTGCGCACCTTGCGCTGTACGAGTTTACCCTCAAGACAGACCCTCCCTCCCCATTCAACCCCCGTCTCACCCAACCGCTGCCCGACAAACTCGCGTTCGAACCGCTTGCCCAGTCTGAAGCCTGGAACGCAGGCGTCGTGTACGCAATGTCACAGAATCTCGCTCGGACAGTGAGTCGCCTGGCCTGTCGCCCACGTCGCCCCCGTATCGACTGTCTTTCTAGCTGTCCGAAATGCCCGGGAACATGATGACTCCAACGGTCAGTGTAGGCGACTCTCGCTGGCGTTTAACCGACGCTCATGTGCCTCTGCCAGTCAGATATTCGCGGAAAGGATCAAATCCGAGTTTGCCGGGATTCCCAACGTCAATGTCATCGTCCGGGATGCGGGTATGCGACTGGACTCTACTCTTCGGCGACAAAGCTGACTCCGGTGTGCACTAGCTTGGGCTGCTGAACAAAACATGGTGAGACATCAAGGTCAATCTTGCTGGTTATGTATGCCTCATGGCGAATCGCCCTGCTCTCAGAATACATTCCTCTCGGTTGCGAAAGGATCCTCGGAGCCGGCCAAATTCCTAGAGATGCAAGTCTGTCCTGTCTAATTGCCTCATCGCATTTCATGTCTGCTTTACAGTCACTACAACGGTACATCGGAGGATGTCAGGCCCATTTTGTTTGTAGGCAAGGGCATCACATTTGATTCGGGAGGAATCTCGATCAAGCCGTCTGCGGTGCGTACCTCCGGCGTCAGCGTGGTGTCCTACTCACCAGTGCAACAGGGTATGAAGCTCATGCGGGGTGACATGGGTGCGGTGTTACGCTTGAAGACATCGTTCTGTTGCTGAAATGTGCCACATTTTACAGGCGGTGCCGCGGCTGTCTGCTCTGCCGCACTTGCGATCGCGCAGCTTCGACTTCCGTAAGCACCGTCTGACCTGCACTTGCGATGTCTGAGGCATTGTCCGGACAGCGTGAACCTGAAAGTTGTCGCGCCGTTGTCTGAGAACCTGCCTGGGCCGTCGGCCATGAAGCCAGGAGACGTGTGCGTACGCAGTGTAGGTGGTCGTGCGGAACCCTGACTAGAACCCACGCAGTGTCTACGCCATGAACGGCAAGTCTGTAGAGATTGACAACACCGACGCCGAGGGTCGGCTCGTTCTCGCAGGTGCGCACCCCGCTGCACGGACGGCCGCCACTGACCCCGCACTGCGCAGACGCGCTGTACTATGGCACGAGCGTGTTCCAGCCGCACACGGTCGTCGACGTCGCCACGCTCACCGGGTACGCACTCTGCCGCGCCGCGCCGCGCATGCGCTGACACCACGCAGGGCGATGCACGTCGCACTCGGCGAGGTCTTCACCGGCGTGTTCACGGTGCGTGCGCCTCCTCCCCTCCAGCCCGCCCGCCCCGCAGCTGAGACCCGCGCCGCGCCGCGCAGAACTCGGACAGCCTCTGGCACGCGCTGGACCGCGCCGGCGCGCGCGAGCACGACCCGTTCTGGCGGATGCCGCTGAGCGACGCGTACGGCCCGCAGATCCACGCGTCGAGCGCGGACCTGTGCAACGTGAGTGTCTGTCTGCCTGTGTGTCGGCGGCGGTGGCGGCGGCTGACCCGCACGGCGGCAGGTCGGCGGGAGGGCGGGC